TATCACATATTATAGGAAATTTTGGGGGTCTGAGTAGTCTGTAGAGTAGGTGGTAGTCAGAATGGATCCCTTTTTAAAGGACTTATTATCTCTCATTTTGCTTTGTTTCTTTGGTGTAAACAATAGGAGGGAAGACCACGCACGCCTGGCCAACGTTTCGCCCACATCAGGGTAGCTTCACTCCACAGTGCACCTATGGAGGACCTTTTTATTCAGTTTATTTCGTTTCCCCACGTTTCTTTTTTGAAATACGGTAACAGTTCATCGAAAATCTCAGTTGATTAATTCATGTGTTGTCGTGAATGATTATTTTGTAGATAAATTCAATGTGAAGCTGTAACAAACAAGACCAAAATTGGAGAATCATGTTTGTGACTGAGTTTGTATTCATCATAAGAAAGAGCTGACAATCAATAAACAAATGAAATTAAGAAAACTTGGACATGCACCGAATCGCAAACTCCTTTCGCTCCGGCGTACAGAAGACCTTGAAAAAATGGTACACGAATACCCAGTCCAAGAAGACTGACAAGGCAAAAGTATAAGACCTGAGAAAAATATCCCCAAGGGGAATTGCCCAAGAAGGCAACTCACAGGCATTCATCGCGTAGCCCTCGTGCTTTAACGCTAGACATCACGTTCGCTCCACGCGCAAGCCAAGTGCTTTAGCGCTCGACTATCACAAGCTTCCATCCATGCTATTATAGCATAAACGCAGGTTTTTTTACCGGGTTTAATTCCCGGACTGCCCTAGCAGAAGGCAGGGCGCCCACACCGGGTCACTGTCGTGACTGGAGCCAACCAGAAGCTCCCCTGGAAACAGGCGGTAGGGGTTTTTTCCTGCGTGCAACCAAAGTACAGAAAAATAACAATGAAATATGAAGACCAGTAAATGAAAATCAAATATAACTCGAAAGCCGCAAAACCGTGAGGTCAAGCAGCAGAGTTAAGTACTAAGGTTCAAAAAAAAAAAAAAAAAAAAAAAAAAAAGCTTCTCGGCCTTTTGGCTAAGATCAAAGTGTAGTGGTAGTCGAGCCCTCGCCCTCGGAATCAACCCCTCGGGGTGCCGGGTGGTAAGGGGGCAACCACTGCAGTGATTTTTCCTAAACCGCCGAGCAGCGATCAGGTGGAAACCTTCAACAAAGACTGAATATGTACAAGATCCTCTGCACCTGGCCTGCTCCCACCACCACTAGAAGATTCGGCCGCCAAGATGCCCTCACCGCGACGCTCACGCGTCCTTTGGGTGCAGCTGCCCGAAGGCGGGCTCTACTCCTGCCCCGTCTGCGAGGCCGAGTCGTTTCTTCGATCGGAGATGAGTCTCGAGCGACTCCGTCGCCACCTCCCGAGCAAGCATGGCAAGAATGCGGACTGGTCAGTCACCTTTGTCTGCTGTGACACTCTATATTCCACGGCAGAAGACAAGTATTGCAGAAAGAAGGCCAATACTCATTGGAATGCGCACCACATCGACGTCGCCAAGAACGCGCTGCTCCCTTCCGCTCCCGGCGTGTGCGCGCTCTCAGAAGATGAACTGCAGAGGCGCGTCATCCGGGTTGCCAACCGGGCGGCGCCTGGAGGCACGTCTGCTACCTCTCCTGCTTCCTCAACCGGGTCGAGTCCCCGCCTGCTGGCGGCCCGCTCAGCCGCCGCGCAAGCCCGGAACGCAGCTCGCCGCCGCAAGCCGCCGACTCCGCCCGAACTGACACCCCAGGCCGTCCTGCTCCGGCCGGACCCCGCCGCTGCGAGGCCCGCCCGACGACTTAGGCAACCCGCCGCAACAAGCCCTGCGGGCCTGCATCCCAGCCCTGCGGGCTTGCCTACCATCCCCGGCGCCAGCTGCGACTCGCCCTGCACACCTGACCAGGGGGGATCCCCCCT